GAGGATGAAAAGGGTGCTGACACTGCTGCTCGTCCTGGAGAGCCCTCGTTGCCACGGCTGCATTCTCTTTGAAACTCTTGTCAGAACGCACCCCGGGAGAGGTCCGAGCGGCACCGGCATCTTTCTGCTGCCACAGTTCCACAGGTTGGAACGCCACTAGTGGTCAGAACCGGTCGCTCTCGGACGATCTGCTCGGGAAAACGTAAGACTCGAGTAAACTGGAACGACTCGAATAAACTGGAACTCGGGTTTGCTGGCGCTTTTCGACGAGCGCGTCCCAGAGTTTGTTGGTCCAGTTTTCGTGGGATGTCTGCGGCGGGAGCTCGCGCCAGACTTCAGACTGGGTCGCGCCATTTGCATGATGGCCTCGTCAGGCCAGCCCGAGTCCCCCGAACCCGAGTCTTACGTCTCCCCGATCTGCGGTGCTTGTGAGCGCCGATCGTCCCTTGTCGAGAGAGGTCCACGCAGGTGTCGAGAGGCCCGTGCTGAAGTCACGGCACGAGCCCGCCGTAGGACCTTCGGGTGGGCTCGCGCAGTGCTCGCGCGGCGGCGGCGTTGGCGAGGGCGTTCCAGGTAGAATTCAGGAGGCTACATGCGAACCCCACCCCACAACCCCACAATCTCTAAGGAGGGAGGTGGGGTTCACTTCGTTCGGGACCTCCCCAGCGAAGTGAACCTAACCTCGTGGGGTGGTGGGGTAGGGTTTGCATGTGGCCTCCTAGAACTGCAGCTGCCTGAGCTCGGCCACAGCCGCACCGAGGAATATACCCTGGTGTTCTTCGTTCGGGAAGGGTACCCTGGTGTTCTTCGTGCTTGTCGGATGTTCTCGTGCATCCGGGGGAGGGCACCCTTGGATGTTCGGTGTATTCTGGCCGAAGGAGGGCCTCATGTTCTTGAGGGATGTTCTTCTTGCCCAGGTCCGCCTGCACACGTCAGAGGGGGTCCCTCCCTGGGTGCGCGGATTCCGCGGGGGCGCGGGGGGGGGGGGCAGATCAGAACACGCAGGCCGCCACCGCCGTGCCGCACGGTCGCTGGACCCCGCACCCGCCACCCCCTTCGCAGGGCTCATTCCGATTCCTCCGATTCGATGCGATTCGATTTGGATGGCTTCCGATTCCGATTCCGATTTGACTCGGGATTCCGATTTGGGCTCCGCTTTCTCACTGGAGGCCTGCTAGGCTGCCGATTTCCGCCGATTCGACTCTTCCCGACTCGGCTGCCGATTTCCGCCGGTCCGATTCGTTTCGATCGCCGATCCGACTGGTCGATTCGACTCCGTGGGCGCTTGCCTTCTCCTCCCGGGCCGCCCGCGCAGGTGCGCCGCTTTCGTTGTGTCACTTCCTCCCCCCCGCCTTATTCGGGGGCGGAAAAGAAGGGGGTGATGACTAGGGGGGGGGGATTTCATGGCGCGGGCCATGATTTTTCTTCAGATTTCATGGCGCCTCTTCTTATTTTATTACGTCCCAGGCCCCCCCGCTAGGCCGCGCACGTGCCGCCGGTCATGATTTGCACCCCCCCCTCTTGGACACCCCCCTCTTGGCCGCTCCCGACTTATGATGTTCGAACCTACTTCAGCCTCGATCACCAGGAAGAACATCGAGCACCAAACAAGTACTGAAACTCGAGGGTTTTCACAGGTCGGGCCCTGGGAGACACTCGCCCGACACTGTTTGGACACTGTTTCGACACTCTTTTGACACTTGTCCGGGTGCTCGAACTTATTTCATCGCTTCGCTCATTCCGCCGGCCCATACAGTCTCATGTCTGCCGTTTGCCCGAGGGCCTGGTGTCAATGCGGCGCTTTGGGGGTTCCTGGGGCCGCTTGGGGGACTCCTGGGGCGCTCGGGGGGGCATTTGGGGGGCCTCCTGGGGCCGCTTGGGGGACTCTTGGGGGCCTCCTGAGGGCCTCGTGGGGGCCTCTTGGGGCCTCTTAGGGGCCTCGTAGGGGCTTCTTAGGGCCGAGGGCTCGAAATGTTGTTTCGTGTTCCCTCTCTGGGGCCCCTTTGGGGGCGTTCTTGGGGCCCTCTTGGACCGTCTTGGAGGCTTCTTGGGCCGTCTTCGAGCCCTCTTGGGCCATCTTGGGGCCCTCTTGGGGGCCTCTTGGGCCCTCTTGGGGCGATCTTGGGGGCCTCTTGGGCCGTCTTGGGGCGTCGGGAAGCCGAAAAGGTGGAAGCTCCAAAATCTCTCAAAAACCTAAGGAAAAACAATGAATTTTGCCTCCGGGGGCCCTCTTGGGAGTGCTCTTGGAGGCCTCTTGGGGCGTCTGGGGGCTATCTTGGGCGTCTTGGAGCGATCTTGTGGCATGTCGGACCCCTCGTGTACCATCTTGGGGGCCTCTTGGGGGCCTCTTGGCCTTTCTTGGGGCTCTCGGGGACGTCTCGGAGCCCTGTTGGTGCGCTCTTGGAGCGCTCTGGTGGCTTCGCCCGGGGATCAGCCGGGAGTCGCCCGGGGTACTTTTCGTCCGGGGACCCCCAGTGGCCGCCCCGCGCGCGCGAACTAGAGAATTGTTAACCAGTTACCGGAGATCTTAGCACGCCTCTGGCCCGTTGGGCCGGCGAATTTCTGGGATGCGGTCCTTATGTAGGTCGGGAACAACATAACCCCCGCCTGGTCTGAGCCAGGGGCTTTGGCCCGGAGGCCGTGGGGGTGCACAGGTGCAGTGGTAACCCGTGACAAGAGACACCCTGCCTGCCTCCAGGGTGCCCTTTTTTGGGGGGGGGGGGGTCGATGGTTTTACGATGGAAGGAGTGACGTTCCCACACCAAAAATGAATGGACGTCCTGGGGTCTCAGGGTTGGGTTCCCTGTGACAGGTTTCCTGTGGGTCGAGCTCCTACTGTATGCACGGCCGATGCTCGTCGTTGCGGGATGCGCCCCTTTGTTTCTTGTCAAGCGTCTCTCGTGGTATCCTGGGTCACCCCTGGGGGCGCGAATGCATTCGCGCTGCGCGCATCGCGGCCGGGGTTGGAGGGGCGCCCTTTCCATGGCGGTGGCGCGAGAGCCCGAAGAGAAACGCGGGTCGCGCACCACGGGGCGCGATGCGCGAAGTTGGGCGACCCAGGGTGTCACGATGGTTGTTGAAGTCATCACTACCCGGGTGTCCTGGCTGTGCTTCTTTCGTGTGGGTGTGGAGGGGGTCTTTGGAGCCGAGAAACTACCCTCACAGGGCCGCCTACGATCCGATTCGATTCGCCGGCTGGGGCCGCGATTCCAATTCGATGCGATCCGGCTCTATTCACTGGCATCGGCCAGGGCCAGCTGGAAGCGGGGCGCGGCGATTCGATACCGATCGGATTCGGGACGAATTGCTGGCGATTCGAACAGCTCTCGACCCGATCCGATTTCGCGATCCGATCCAGCGCAGACCTGCCTCACCCCCAGCCAGGACCGTCTGGATCACCAGGTCGGGAGTGGAGGTCCTTGCTGGGGGTTGGGGTGGACTCTGCTGTCCTCAGTTGAGCGACGGAAGAAGACGGGGTCGTCTTCGCTGACAGTGGCGCGTAAGCTGCCCGCGCAAGGTCGCGTGTAAGCGCCATCGTCGTCAGTGTGGCGTGCCGCGCCAGCGGCCCGCGTAAGCTTCGGCGTAAGGTCGCTGCGCCATCTCGCGTAAGACCCGTTTTTGATTGTCGCTCAGTTGTAGGGGTGTTCGCTGCGTGTAGGCGACGAGCTTGGCCCGTGCTGACGGAACTCGGCCGTTGGAGGGCGGTCATCGTGCAAGGCCGCGCGGCCCACGCGGAGTCTGGAGGAGGGGGAGGAGGAGGAGGAGGAGGAGGAGGAGGAGGAGGAGGAGGAGGAGGAGGAGGAGGCGTCGGTGTTGCACGCCGGCCCCGGCTGGGCCGATGCTGGGCCCAGGTCCTCCGAGGGCGGCCAAAGAAGGGGGGGTGACGACTGGGGCGGTGGGTGGGTGGTGGTGGGTAGGATGGCGGGGGCCATGATGCCCCCCCGGATGTCATGGCCCCCCTCTCTTCTTTCACCCAGTGCCCTGGCCCCCCCTCCTCCCCCCTCCCTCGTCCGGGTGCCTGGGGCCACGATTTGCGAGCCCTCCTCTTGGACACCCCCGAAGAATCTGTGGCTGCGCGCCCTGGTCGCGGCGCGCATAAGGGATCCAGCGCCCACGCAAGAAGTCCGCGTGGACCTCCGAAAGTTTTTGTTCATGCTGCTGGCAGTGTGTTCTGTCATTCCAGGATTCCAGGATCGGCCAGTCTGGATGCATCCCGCATTAGAAGAGGTTCGGGAGCTCTGCGTGTGCTGTCGTTCGAGACGTTCTGAGCCTGTCCATGACTCTGTATCTTCAGAAAGTCACAGCGAACAAGAAGGCGGTTCCCCATGGCTTGCTATGGTCCGGCGGCGAGCCCAGGGGGGAACTGCGAGGGGGCAGGCCTTCTCAGATGGCGGCGGGGTTTCTCAGAAGCTCTCGCATCTTCTGAGAAGCCTTGTGAGCCCTCTCCGGAGCCGCAGGCGGCCTCTTGGAAGGCGCGGGGGGCTTCTGAGAAGCCCCGCCGCCCTCTGACGAGGCCTGCCCTCTCTTGCTCCCCCCGGGACCGCCGCCGAGACGAAGCTCGACTTGGGCCTCGATCGCCCCACCCACGTCTCCTGTTGGGCTCCCGGCAGTGGACGTCACATGCCAGGTGTGCTCCGCGGCGGACGGGGTGGCCGAGGCTCACGCTGGCAAGCTCGGCAAGCCGTCGGGGGCTCGGGCCCGCTCGGGTGGGTTGAGGGGGAGGGGGGATGCAGTTGAGGCGCTGAACCCAGACCCCTCGGGCAATGAGCAACAATCATGACAGGAGGTTTTTCCATATTTCCGGCCTCTGGAAGCCTTTGCCGGGCCTCGGGACCGTCAACCAAAAGCGACTCAGGATGAGGAACCGGTCCAGGGGAATGGGTCGAGACCTCTGAGGGGCGACGTGATGAGAGAATCATGGCGTCGGGGGTCTGGGAAGTTAGAGTTTGAGGCCGTTCCTTCGATCTGGGCTGGGGAGCATCTTCGTGGCCGAGGCGCACCGTGGCAAGAACAGCTCCCTCGTTCCTCGAGTGGTACTCCTTATGGTAGCGCGATGGATGTACGGGGAAGCGAGGAGGAGGAGGAGGAGGAGGAGAAAGGGGAGGAGGAGGAGAAGGAGGAGGAGGGGTAGGAGTAGGAGTAGGAGTAGGAGTAGGAGTAGGAGTCAAGCTAGCCAGCTCGAGCGAGTCAAGCATGGCATGCCCAGTCCCACCCGCCCTCCCACAACATAAGAAGCAAAGCTGGCACAACTGGGGGCCGAAGTCACACCGGCCAGCCGGTTTGGTACAGCTGATGCGGCCGCGATGGCGGTTGCCGACGGGAACTGGCGAGCGCGTGTTGAATGCCGCGCACGCATTGCCAGACGAGTCGAGAATGGCCCGGTACACCGCAGGAAGCCAGAGGTGGCCGGAGGAAGCCCGACGGTCTGACAGGACACCCCAAAGCATTTTTGTGAAAAAGCATTGGGTTTTTGATGTTTTTATGTTGAAATGCTTGCAAACACACGGTGTTCGGTAGGATTCTGACATGAACGCGCGAGTGTGCTCTTTGTGGTATTTTTTGCACAGGATTCGCGGCCTGGGTGCATGACAGAGCATCGCGAGTGCACCGCGCGATGACGTGAAATCGCTGGATTTGACCGAATTCTTAAGATTCCTATGGTTTTCCTATGATTTCAGCAAGAGAGCCCGGGCGGGAAATTTGTACAATTTTTGTGAAAAAAGCATTGGGTTTTTGATGTTTTTATGTTGAAATGCTTGCAAACACACGGTGTTCGGTAGGATTCTGACATGAACGCGCGCGTGTGCTCTTTGTGGTATTTTTTGCAATGGATTATCGCCGTGGACGACAGGACGTCCATGTCGAGAGGAAAAAATAAGAAAAATGTTGATTTTGTATTGTTTTTTTACAGGTTAGGATGGGACCACCCGGATGCGCCCGCTATCTGCCGGCCTGAGGGGGGAGTAGGAGCATATTCTAATAAGGAATAAGGATAGGAGGAGGAGGAGGAGGAGGAGGAGGAGGGAGGAGGAGGAGGAGGAGGAGGAGGAGGAGGAGGAGGAGGAAGAGGAAGAGGAGGAGGAGGAGGAGGAGGAGGAGGAGTGGAAGAGGAGGAGTAGGAGGAGGATGAGGAGGAGGAGGAGGAGGGGATGAGCAGGAGGAGAAATTATGGATCTGGGGAGCATGCGGACAAGGAGAGGGGGATGGAGTGAACGAGGGAGTGGCGCCAGTCGCGATGCGAGTTGAGAGGACGAGCTACGGATGGTTGCGATCGAGCATGCGGCTTTGCTGATTGCTGTCGGCCATCGACCATAATGGGTCCACCGCAAACAAATTGTTTCGGTTCGCATCCAGGGCTACATTCTTGACCGTGGTCGTCAATCAACGTGTCATCCTGACCGTGGCTCGGCTGGTGTTGCTGTGGCCTTGAGCGTGGGTTCTGGGCCCCAACATCCCTTTTAATGGCGTTGGGCGTGCATTCTCGTGCGTATGTGCGTTGCTCGTCCCATCGTCCCTGCCCTCCACGACTTGGGGCTATCGGGGCTCTCGTGGCAGGGCGCTGTCTCGACCGTTGTCCCTCTTGCACAGCCGAAGGCAGTCGGTACGAGATAGCCCTTCCAGCTGCAGTTTCCCTGCGGTCGGATGCTTGTGCTCGCAGCGCTTCCCGCCAGCACATCCGCTGCAGTGCTGCATGCCGCTACGTTGTCTCGCACTGTCGCACGTCGGTACCCTCAAGGTGTTGATTCACACAAGCAGAAACATCCAGCTGCGTGTGGCCCGAAGGCCGCAGCTCCAAGTTGGTAGTGCTTTCGCAACGGTAGACTTAGCCAAGAGATGCCGTGCCGTCGCTGCGTTGATCATTCGCCGCTCTCGTTCCCAACACTGGGCCTGAGAGCGAGACGCCTTGTGCAGCTTACCTCGTGCGTGATTTGCGAGCGCTCAACATTGACGGCTCCTGGCACTCTCATTGCATGCCGTGGTCGTGGACTCGCCGAAGCGAGTCTCGACGATACCCGTACAGTTGCAGCCGTTCTGCATCAGGCATTTTTTCGAATTCCTCCCCCTGGCCCGTGGCACCCGAGAAGAAGACGGTGCGACATTTCCCGCGGCGCTTTGCTTAAGCGCGCCGCCCCTGAGCTTCCTGCTGGCGGCCTTGCCCAGCTCCTACCGAGCCCAGTCGCTGGTTCACGGCCGCCGGGCTGGCGACGCCAGCCACGCCGTTGGCCGCCCGTGCCTGCGCCGCCTCCCTTGCCCTTGCCCGTGCCCTTGCCCGCCGCTGCGCCTTTCGGTGGTGCTCCCCCCCTCCCCCTCCTCCTGTGCCTCCTCCTATGCCTCCTCCTATGCACCTGCTGTATCAGCTTCCGCGGGCGCGCGCATGGGGAGCGCCGTCGCCTGGGACGCCTGGACACCCCGGGCAACCCTGGTGCTCGCTTCGGCGCGCTGCCTCTTGGGGGCCGTGCGCCGCGCCTCGAGCTTGGCCGCGGACAGCCCGCCGGCATCCTCGCCCAGCCGGCTCTGCGCAGGCCCCACCCCCCGCGGGGGCGCCGCCGCCGCCTCCTGCGCCCTCGGCCGGCCCCGAGGGAGCCGCTGCGGCGGCGATGGCGGCCGCGGCGTCGCGAGCCTTCGCCCGACTCTTCCTTCCTGTGTCTGCCGTCGGTGCTCCGTGCGGCTGGAAGGAGGCGCCGCCCTGGTCGTCGCCGCGGCAGGGCCCGCTTTGGCCGAGCCCGCCCTGCCTGTGCAGCACCGCACCTCGCTTCGAGGCGCTCTCGACCTCCCGGCGGACCCCGGCGGCGCGCTCCGGCATCGCTGTGACGGCCGACCCTCTGGCAGGCCAGAGGCCAGAGGGCCTCTGGCCTGTGGCTTCGCTGGACGCGTCTGCTGATCGGCGTGCACCCCGCGAAGCCCAGTGCGCCCCGCCCCTTCGCGCTCGGGATCGCCCACTCGCGCGAACATCTCCTCGCCCCAGACCTTGGCAGAACTTAGGAGCGCCATCGGCGGGCGCTCTTCCAGCGGGCGCTCCCGCGGCCGCGGAACCTAGCCTCCGCCTTGGCCAGAGCCTCGGTGGCCGCTTTCTTGGCCGCCGAGGCTCTGGCCCCTGCTCGCTCTCCTCTCCCCCCTGATAATTACCTGGTGCAGTGGGTGCGCGGATCAAGAGACAGACTGCTTTTCATCATTGTACCCTGTGTTTCTGCGCTCCGCGCGCTGCGCGGTGGCTTCCGTGGCCGTTGACGGAGCTGCTGCGTTCAGGGTGCTCTGGGCCCCCCCCGCTTGCATCTCTTGCCTGCGGGTTTCAGGGTTGTTTTTTTGCGAGGGTTTCTTGCAGCCGCGCTGCACGATTTACAATCTGAGTACTGCTCCCCTCTCCCCCCGTGGTACCTGAAACTGTGCGGTGGTGCAGCCGCCGCTTCCGCGTATCATGTTCTTTCACGCGCACAGGACTCAAACCAGGTGTTCTCTAGCTCCCACTGACCAGGCGCTTCCGTTGCAGTAAAGGCCACGTTTCCGGATCGGCGCTTTGCGCCGTGGTGCAGAATGGTGCCCTCGCCACCGCGCGGACCCGACTGTTGGCTCCGATGCCTTCCAGTCGTTGCCGCCCCCTCTGCCTTCCTCCGCCTTGCCCTCGTCCGCCTGCTCCTCCCGCTCCCTCCGCTCCTCGCGCCTCCTCCTCCTCCCTTCCCTCGCTCCTCCTCCTCCCTTCCCTCGCTCCTCCTCCTCCTCCTCCGGAAGCATCATCCTCTTCCTCCTGCTCATCCTCCTGCTCATCCACCGACTCCTCGTAAAGTGTGCAATCTCCTTTTTGGGATTGCGCATCACACGGTGAGGTGACGATGAAGGTCCTCTGGCACAGCCGGGTCGGCGAGAGAAGGAAAGCGTGACGTAAATTTGCGGAATGGGCAGGGATGGGTGGGAAGGGCATGATGTCAGATATGGCGCGAGCATGCGCACCTTGCCCGCTTCCCCTCCGCCATCTCCTCCCTCCTCTCGCCTGCCATCCCCTGCGCCCCCCTCCCACCCCTGCCCTTTCTCTGCCCGCCCCTCCTCTGCCCCCCTCCCACCCCTGCCCTTTCTCTGCCCCCCTCCCACCCCTGCCCTTTCTCTGCCCACCCCTGCCCTTTCTCTGCCCGCTTCCCCTCCACCTTCTCTTCCCTTCTCTCGCCTGCCATCCCCTGCGCCCCCCCCACCCCTGCCCTTTCTCTGCCCGCCCCTCCTCCCTCGCTGCCCGCCCCTCTCATCCCCCCTCACTGCTCCCTCGTCGCTCCCTGCCCTCGCCCCCCGCCCCCCACAACCAAGGCCTCCCTGCGCCGCAGGGCGCAGCCAGTGGGAAGAGGATCTGGACGCCCGAAATGGGTACGGAAAGATTGGGTGCGATGTCCAACAGCAGTTCGTGTTCATTTTGAACAGGACTCGCTGTCCGCGCCGTCGCGGCCTGTGTCCGTTCGAGACAGAAGGCCGCCTGCCCAACAGCGGCCGCTGTTGGTTTGGAACAACATCTGTTGTTGGGCATTGTACCTATTCTTTCCGTACCCATTTCGGGCGTCCAAAGAGGATGGGGAGCAGGAGGAGGTGATGAGGCCAGAGCTGAGGAACCGCAGACGTGGGTATGTGCGCGTGGATTGGCGACTGGTCCTGCATCCGTTCAGAGTCGTCGCGCTCCGTCGCCAATTCATGCAGCAATGGCTTCGATTTCGGGGGGTACTTCCCCGATCCCTGGATTCGGCGCCCACGCGCCAGATCCACGGATCCTCAATCCATGTGAGCGTGTGTCTGACAGGAGTAGGTTTGAAGAGGAAGGGATACGAGAAGGACGAGGAGGAGGAGGAGGAGACCATGACTTCACAGTTCGCTAAGGCCGGAGAAGTTGGACGTGTCCTTCCTGCCCGCGCACATGATGAACGGCTCCAGTTCCAGCGACATATTGAGACCTCTCCAGCTCGAGGACAACACTGTGGAGTTGGACCTCGAGGTTGCCATCATCAGAGCCGGACAACTTCGGAACATGGAGCGAGGGGGGGAGGCGGAGAAGGACGAGAGGCAATCGGTGGCGGGCCCAAGGGAGACGTCAGATGGGGCGGGCCTTCCCAGACAGCTCAGGGGTCCCCCGGCCTTTGAGAAGTTCCCCAAGTTCTGCCGGAGCCGCGGAGGGCTCCTCAGAAGGCCGAAGACTTCCCGAGAAGGCCTGTGCTCTTTCTCTATTCTCCCCGGGCGCGCCGCTGAGAAGACGTGGTGGTGGGGCAGGGGGGAAGCATCCCGCGTCCGTTCCCCAGGGGTGGACCCCGCTGGCCCGAGCCCCTGCTCGGCCGTCCGGTGTCCCCGAGTACGTGCTGGGCAGGAGTGGGAGGGTGCGGCCCAGCGCGTGCCCCCCGATCTCTGCAGGCGCCCCTTCTCAACGACCCCGTGGCCCCATCTGAACGGCCTTTCCTTCCCCTCTCCCTCTCTCTCTCGTTCTCTCTCTCTCTCTCTCTCTCTCTCTCTCTCTCCCTGCTCGAGGAGAAGCAGGGAGGGGGGACGAGGATGACGACGACAAGGACGACGATGGTGTCGATGATGATGATGATGATGATGATGATGATGATGATGATGATGATGATGATGATGATGGTGATGGTGATGGTGATGGTGATGGTGATGCTGATGCTGATGGTGATGCTGATGCTGATGATGATGATGATGGTGATGATGATGATGCTGATGATGGTAATGATGGTGATGCTGATGGTGATGGCGATGATTCCGATTATGATGCTGAAGATGTTGCTGATGATGCTGTTGATGATGATGCTGATGATGATGATGACGGTGATGATGACGGTGATGATGACGATGCCGCTGGTGATGATGATGATGATGATGATGATGATGATGGTGGTGGTGGTGGTGGTGCTGCTGATGATGGTGATGACGATTTTGATGACGATGACCAGAAGGATGGTGATTATGATGATGATGGTGGTAATGCTGATGGTGATGATGACGATGACGATGACGATGACGATGGTGATGATGATGATGATGATGATGATGATGATGAGGAGGATGCTGATGCTGATGATGACAATGATGCTGATGATAATTATGATGATGATGATGACAATGATGCTGATAATGCTATAGGCTTACGCCACATCCGCCGACCCCGTGATCGACTTGGGGATGTCGTGTTGCTGTCCTGAAACGTACTTGTGTTGTCTTGTTTCTTTGGGTGTGCGGGCTCCTTCCGTGGACAGTAGCAATGTCGCGCGCGACGAAATGAAGAGCACCCTGACATGCAAGGCATGCAAATGATACCCATGCGAGCGCCGGTGCCATGATCCGTAGAAGTACGACCAGCGGGGGTGAGAGCGAGAGGGAGGACGAAACCGATGAATGAGGAAAGCCAAGCAGGAGAAAGCGGAAGAGGAGGAGGAGGCGGGTGAGGGTGGGGGAGAGGCGCAGGAGGGTCATCGGAGGAGGAGGAGGAGAAGGAGGAGGGACGATTTGGTTTGGAGGCGTGAACTCCTTCCTGTCTCTGGTGGCCTTCTGGAAAGATGTCCGGCACTTCGGACAGCGTGTGCGTCGCCCTGGATGTTGAGACCCTGCGCAGGTGTCTGGACCGTGCAATTTGTCATGGCCGTCGGTCCAAACCGGCGTGGTAGGGGGTCAGAATTTGAGGGGTGTTTCGCTGGGTATTTTCGGAGCGCTCTGGAGGTGGGGGCAATGTCATATAGTGGGGTCAGTGCGTTTTTCGTGGCTGACTTTCGCACTGTTCGCCGTGCGGACATGGAGAAATACCTGCGAACACCCGCGCTCGTTGACGGCAGGTCTCGGTCCAAAAACCGGACGAGTTGTTCTCGAATGGGACGCGTCGCATCCCGCCACCTTGCTTGGGTTGCAGGTGTGTCATGCGGCCCCGTCCCGAAGCCGATTTTGGCAACGATATTGTAAATCCCCCGCCAGATGTTTTTTGTATTTTCTGTTTTGTTGAGATGTTTTCATCAGCTGCTGTCGCGTTGCCGACGTGCACCCCAAGTTGGGCATCTGCGTTGCGTGCTGTGCCGCGTGCGCGGTGCAGCGCGGGTTGTGCCGTTCGCGCGGCGCCCCGCGGTCGGCACCGAGGTTGCGGCGTTTCCTCGCGGCGCCGCACTCGAGGTGCCGCGAACGCACCGCCGCTTCTGCAGCCGACGTTGAATTTGTGGTGTCGTGTGCCTGGAGTTGCGGGCGCGGTGTTGCGCGGTGTTTTTTTCGCGCGCGCGTGCGTGCCTCGCGCGCGGTGCACAGTTCGATGCGCGTCGTGCTGCGTGCCGGCGCGGTACCGTGCAAATAGCGCCACGTACGTGCTGCCGCGCGAGGTGCCCGGTGTTTGCGTACGGTGCCGCGCGCGCGGCGCCGTGTGCGCGGCCTGCGTGGTGCCGCGTGCGTGGCGTTGCGTTGCTGGTGCCGCTCACGGGACCTCCGGCCTGCGCGTGTACGAGGTTTTGCCCAAGCGCGCCGCGCCGCGCCATGCGCGGCACGTTGCGCGGGTCGGGTTGCTCGCGTCGCGGAGGTTTCCCGCCATGCGCGTGCGAAGTAAACGGAGGGAGCGGGAGAGGATGAGAGGAGAAACGAAACGGGGAAGCTAGGGAGGAAAAGGGGAGTCATGCGAGATGGTAGGCGAAATGGAGGGAAGAGCGGGGGAGGGATGGGGCGGCAAGGGGGGGAGGTGTTTGGAGTAGGGGCGATCGTGCGAGTGCGACAATTGTTAGCACCCCAGTCGCGAGTGGGCTGCCGGCGGTGCGTTGAGGCGGGGCTCCGGGATAAAATTTTCCTGGCAAAACAACCTAACAGCGATGTGTATAATCATTTCTGGAAGCATTCCCCTGAAGATTCAGGTGAGAATCCAGTTGTAGAATTCTGCTGTTCTCGCAGTCGCAGTCGCATTCGCAATGACAGTCGCAGTGGCAACGGCCTTAGGATCCAATGGAATCCTAAGGATTCCTGTGGATTCCTGAGGATGCTTCACATGCCTACGGATTCCTGAGGATGCCTACGGATTCCTAAGGATTCCTAGGGATTCCGGAAAATTCCTATGGATTCCTACGGATGCCTCAACCTGCCTGAGTTTCAGCCTCAGCTTCAGCTTGCCTCGGCTTGCCTCAGCCTCAGCCTCAGCCTGCCTCGGCCTCAGCTTCAGCCTGCCTCAGCCTCAGCCTCAGCCTGCCTCGGCCTCAGCCTGCGTCAGCCTCAGCCTCAGCCTGCCTCGGCCTCAGCCTGCCTCAGCCTCAGCCTCAGCCTCAACCTGCCTCGGCTTGCCTCAGCCTCGGCCTCAGCCTGCCTCCGTCTCAGCCTGCCTCGGCCTCAGCCTCCCCTCCTCCCCCCTCCTCCCCCCCCCCATTCAGCCTCACCTTGTCTCAGCTTCGGCCTGCCTCGGCTTCATCCTCAGCCTCAGTCTCAGCCTCAGCCTGTCTCGGCCTGAGCCTGCCTGCTTGCCTCGGCCTCAGCCTCAGCCTGCTTCGGCCTCAGCCTCAGCCTCAGCCGACTTCAGCGTCAGCTTCAGCCTTCTTCAGCCTCAGCTTGCCTCAGCCTCAGCTCAGCCTGCCTCGGCCTCAGCCTGCGTTAGCCTCAGCCGCAGCCTGCTTCATCCTCAGCCTGCCTAAGCCTCAGCCTTAGCCTGCTTCGGCGTGCCTCAGCCTCAGCCTCAGCCTGCCTCGGCCTCAGCCTGCCTCAGCTCGGGCATTCAAAATATGGCGCAGGATTGGTGTTCTGGGAACACGAAAATCACGAAGTGGCCCACAGTTGGCTCCGGGCAGTCAACATATGATGCAGGAGTGGTGTTCTGGGGACGCGAAAAACACGAAGTGGCGTACAGTTGGCGCCGGACATTCAAAATTAGCTTGGGAATGGTGTTCTGACAACATGAAGAACACGAAGTGGTCTACAGTTGGCTCCTGGCATTCAAAAATGTGGCCTGGGAATTTTGTTCTGGGAGCACGAAGAACACGAAGTGGCCTACAGTTGGCTCCGGGCATTCAAGATGTTGCCTGGGAGTGGTGTTCCGGGAGCGCGAAAAACACGAAGTTGCTTACATTTGGCCCCAGGCATTCAAAATGTGGCCTCGGAGTGGTGTTCTGTTGGCTCTGGGCAATCAATATGTGGCTCCTGGCAGTGAAAATGTTGAGTCCCCGGATTCCCGCGGCACCCGTCCGGCATCTGCCCAGGCCCCCTCTTGGGAGTCATGCTATTTTTTTTGAGACCATTAGAAACCGATCAATTTTCGCTGTTAGGTAATATCTGGCGCTCCGGTTCTGGGGTTCCTGTTTTTTTTTCTCCGCGGCGCCTTGCGCCAAATCCAGACAGCCAGGGGATGCGGGTGCCTCCCTCCCCCTCCCCCTGCCGCCCTCCCCTCCCCCTCCCTCCCGCCCCTTCCCTCCCGGTCAGGTCCTTTTCTTCCCTCTGTCCGCCTCCCTCTCTCCCTCTGTCCGTTTTGAGCCCCCCCCCTTCCCCCGGGGCGACGCACCCCCGGAGCGACCCCCGGGGCCACGATTTTGCGCACGATTTCGCCGACGATTTTGCCAACGATTTCGCCCACGATTCTGCCCACGATTTTGCCCACGATTTTGCCCACGATGTGCCGACGATTTTGCTGACGATTCCGACCGCCCACGATTTTGAACACGATTTTGAACACGATTTTGTTTCATTTTGATTCGAGTTAACGGAAGTGAGCAAAATCGTGGGCGAAAATCGTGGCTCGTCCCAGGGGTTGCCCCGGGGTGGCCCCACGGGTGGCCCCAGGGGGTGGCCTCGGGGGGTGCCTCGTCCTGGGCCCAGACCGGGGCGCCGATCCAGGGTGCCCGGCGCGCGGCGGCGGAGGGCGGGGGCGCAGAAGAGGGGGGGGGGCGGGGAGGGGCACTGGGGAGGGGCCGGTAGTGGGTGGAGGACAGGGAAAGGGCGGGCAGGGGCAGGTGGAGGGCAGGGAAGGGGGAGGTGCGCGGGGAGATGAGGGGAAGGGAGGGGCAAAGGGGCTGCAGCTGTTGGTCTGGAGGG